CTTCAAATGACAAACATGAGTTAAAATGCTGAGAGGTTCGAGGTGTAAAAAAAAAAGGTTTTAGATTACAGAATATATAGGTCACCCTTGACCATTTTGCAGCATTTATTCCACCTTAGAAACCTGATAAATTTGCACAAATTTTGCGGGGATAAAGGTAGAAATTTGGACTATATTTTTCTAGCATCCATCAATTTCCTGGGAAATCTCTTTGATCATCAGATTCTCACCGGCTTTTGTAAAACAGCAGACAGGTAAATTTCAGGTTTTCCAGATCCCGCTGCATCTGTTTTCTTCCTACAACCATTTGAGCTTCTTGTACCCAAATCTTTCGATCAAACGAGTTAAAGCTCTCTTCTTTTCATCATCAGAACAATAAAAGTTATCTAACCAAAACAAGCCGCCGGCCCTTAGAACCCGATCTACATCGAACATCAAGAACTCCAATTTCTCTGGTCTACCTCCAACATCTAATCCACTCGTGGCATGAACCAAATCAAACACATTATCATAGAAAGGAAACCTATGGTCCAAGCTCAAGAACAAAGGGAAAAGTCCCCTAGCAGCAATGAATTCACTATAAGGTGCATCGAGATTCAAGGCATTAGTGATGGCAGTGACATTCCTCTCTGCCATTCGAGCAGCAAAAGTCCCAGACCCACCTCCGATATCGAATCCGATCCGAATCCCACCATTCCCCATAGCTAAAACATCATCCATAGTAAAATCAATCTTGCTTCTAGCCTTAACATATCTTTGAGTCTCGAATCCATTAACCAAATCAAAGCAACCAACACAATCTTTACTCAATTTCTTACTATTCAAACAGTTAAAATTCTTGCAATCTAGACCGCTCCAAGCAGCAATCTTGTCATTAACAGGTTTCCATAGAGAAGCAGGTAAAGAAGAGAGACCTGGTTTAGGAACAGTCTTGGCAAGCATCTCTTCTCGGCAAAGGCTCACATCCCTTCAGATTAGCTTCTGAGCAAGGCTCCAGTCATCGGGACAAGGACCGGAAACCTTGTAACTCATGTACTGGGACAACAAATCAGCGGATTTCTCGCAAGAATGTCCCACGGAAGCTACCATCTCGGTGATCCCGGTTCTCGAATCCTTCCCCAGAGGAAGCTGATGGTGTTGCAAGAACATCTTGAGTTCGGCAGCAAGATTGGGTCTTGAAAGATCGAGAGTTTCGTAACCAAGGAGCTCTTTTTCCATCTGGGCGAGCTGCCTCTGGGAAGAATCGATCTCTTTTATGATCAGAGAGACTTGTTGAGAGATCAAGGAGATGTTTTTATGAGGGTGGTGAAATGGGTTGTTCAAGTGGTGGTTTGGGGAGTAATTGAAAGCGTATAAAGCGAATAGATTAGTGGTGATGACGGAGAAAAGCATGAGAATGTTGAGAGCTGAAGAACAAAGTGTTGCTCTCTTGAATCTTGCCGTTCCATCTCCAATTTTCAGTGAAACCGACCCCATATTTTTCTTCCCTGCTAGAGAGAGAGTAGCCTGTGAAACGAAAGAGATGGAAAATTGATGAACTAAAAATTGGGTCTTTTAATCGTTTTGCGACTTGGATTTGTGAACCCAAAGCAAGTTGAGATTTTTTTAGTACAAAATGTTATATTTATTACCAGTGTGGGGAGATTATGGATTTAAGACTCCGAGGAAAGCGAGTGTGTCGGTTGTCTTGCGATTTATTGTAGAGATCACATGTTCATAGTGAGCAAGATCAACCGCTCCAAATTCGTTTAGAGTGGGAGATATTGTAACTACCCATTGATCACTCAAAATTTTCCTATTTTTATCATTAAATTACTTTTTCATTTTGTTAAAATTATAAATAATGTTATTTTAATAATTTATTTTTGAGTTAAAATTTTATTACACAGTGTAAAATTATTTTTAGTTAAAATTATAAACTTTTTTTGATTTCTTTTGTTTTTTTTCATATTTTATTTTTTCTTTAACTCATAGTATATCTTAAGATATTTGTTAATTGCTTAAAGAAAATTTCATTGAATTATATTAGTGAAAAAAAAATTATAAGTTGCCAACTGGGATTTTATACTTCCATTGCTTCCCTGTGCGTATATGTCTGGAATCAAAAGACCAATAATGACTTACTTTCGGTATAATTTGTACAATGGTTGAGACGAGAGTGAGACACCAGAATGACCACTGCCGAGAGGAAAATTAGGAAGTTAGAGACAACTGATTTGGTAATTACAAGTGAGGTTTAGGGTCTTTTGTTGAAAAAATTAAAATAAACCGGGTATCGGGTAGTTGGGTACCATGTTAAGAGAAATTTTATGACTCGGACCGAACCCGAGAACCTAGGAAAAATAGCGGGTCGGGTACCTGGCTTGAAAATTTGGATATTTCTACTATTATTACCCTGTAAATTTTAGTCAAGTCGGTGGGTAGACGGGTCGGGTAGTTCGAGTCGGGTATTTTTGAACACCCCTAATGGACATCGTCGACACCGGTTTTCACCCGGATTGAAAAAAATAGTATGACTTGGGTTTTTTTTTTTTGAAATGTTGGGAGTCGTCACCAATCATTTTTAAGGTGTAATTGGAACATCTAAAATCATGTAATTTTAATAAAACATTTAATTTTATAAAAAAATACCACTTTTGTCTGCGAAAACCAGAAATCGAGTTCGGGAGTCAATTATATGTAGGGAATGATTAACACCCTTTTCTCTTACCCTGTTTTGTGTAGGGGTAATTCTATAAGATAGACTGAGTTTTCCCATTGCTAGATGTTTTCAATTGATGTTAGAATTGTTTTCACAGTCATGGTGTACTCTTTTTCCTTCATCTACGGTTAAGAAGTTTTTTTTTAATGAGACACGTGATTATGTTCCGTTTTGTATGAGGTATCGGAATAATATCATACAAAACTATATTTAAAAAAATTATTAGGATGAAATGTAGATACACGGTTATAAAAAAACCAATACTAAAGAATCTCAAATCAAATTCGAATAACTCCATAATATATTTTAATTACATTTAAATAAATTTATGGAATAATATTAATTACAAATTAACAGCTAACAAGGCAAATGCCATGGAGAAGAAAAACATTAATTATAATCATTTTAATTACATTTAAATAAATTTATGGAATAATATTTAATTAAAAGTCTTCCGATATTTATTTTATTTTTCAATATATGCTTTATTATATTTTATTAATTGTACATAAAATTTATATATAATAATACATTAAATACTTTCCTATAAATTAAATATATCTATTCATTTAACTTTTGAAAATCATAAAATTAATTTAGATATAAATTCTAAATCAAATATTATCTGGAATGCAAATGGCCTAATTTAAATATATAAAAAAATATATCAAGTAGATCAAATACATATTCTAATTTCTAATAGCAAGTTTGGGAAAAATAAAAATTGAAGGACAATCGATCTATTTTAATTTAGGGCAAGTTACACATTTAGTACCTAAATTATCGATTTTGGCTCATTTTAATACCTAAACTTTCAAAAAAAATTTCAAAATCACACCTAACGTTTAGTTTTTTTTTCTTCATTTTAGTACATCCCGATTAAAAACTTAATGCGTTTAGTATCTAAACTATCAGTTTTAGTACCAAAAGTTTAAAAAAAATCAAGGTTTAACATAAAATTTTTAACGGGGTACTAAAATGAAACAAACTAAACTTTAGATATGGTTTTGAAAAAAATTAAAAGTTAATGTACTAGAATAGACAAAAATTGATAGTTTAGGTACTAAACACATAATTTACCCTTTAATTATTTAGATATCAATTTATTCTTTATAATTTGAAAAATACTCGTTTACCCCCTTTGATTTGATCTGATTTTTTTTTTGGTTCAGAGATTTAAATGAAAATTTTAAACTTTGGGGTTAATGAAAATTTGATTTTAGTTTATATTACTTATAAAATTAATATATTTATATTTATTTCATAAACTAAATTTGATTTTGTTTTGTAGTAATTACATGTAATATTAGAATGGGTTGTAAATGAGATGAATTGAGCTTGTGTATTGTTGAGTTCGATTTAACTTCATAAGTTTAAAGATGAATTCGATTTGATCTGAAAGTGTACAAGGTTAGAAGTGTCAACTTCCATATTAACTCGCAATAAAAAGTTATAATTTGGTTCGAGTTTGAAAAAAAATTAAACTCAAAATGCTATTAGACTTAGCTCGGTTGAAGCTCGAACTCAACTTCAGTTCCAGCTCAAACTCGAGCTCGAATCTGAATCTTAAGTACATGAAAACTATATATTGTATCTTTTTAAAAAGTAACATATAAATGTTAATATTATTAACAACTTAATTTGAAAAATTAGCGTTTCAATATACTATTTTTTTAGTTGCTTGCGAGTTTTTTGAGTCGGATATCAAGTAGTCCGCTTTGTCTTGTTAAGAACTTGAGTCGAATTCGAGCTCGAGTTAAGTCTATTTGAATCGAGTTGTGACTGAAGTTTGAACTCGACTTAAGTCCATCTGAATCGAGTGTTGACCAAATCGAACCTGAGTAATTTGTGATTTGCCTTGTCTCATTCACAATCCTAGTATTAAGTACCCGTTTTGAATAAAAATATATTTTAGACACTTTAGATTAGTAGGGTGAAGAGATCAGGGGCTTATACCAGATATCTAAATAAATAAAAATAATATATTTAATTTTACATATAAACAAAAACAAAATTAGCAATAATATTGTTTTTAATACGTACATGTATGTATGTAGTATTGTTTCCAAGGTACAATTGTTACCAAGTTTTGAAATTCTCTACATTTTAATTGTTTTATTTACTCCTAACTTCCCATAACGTGCTTTGCTTGCTCAACAAATAATCGAGGGTGTGGCTCTAAAGTCTAAATCTCAAACCCATCGTCCACAAACCAAAAATCCATAAACCCTAGAGAGACCAAACCTCAACACCGCCCTTCATGACACGTGTCACCATCCCACACCCTCACCCTGTATTTCTTTTATATCACTCTCGCTTCCGCCAAGTCTCTCAACCCCTTCGGCTTCCTCTCGCCATGTTTTCTATTCTCTCTGCCTTTTTCTTTTCTTCTGCCGTGAAAATTCCCCATTAGCGGGGATTCCTTCTTCTCTTCTCTTCCATTGTTGATTGTCTTTCTCTTCTTTGTTTTGTTGGTGAAAACAATGGAACAGAGCTGTGATACTGAAGAAGAGATCACGGTCGCTAATATCATGTTGGAGCTCTCCCAATCCGAGCTACGCCGTCGCTTTGACTTCACTTGGGGCTCCTCCAAGGGCAGGAGATCTACTTGTTCGAAATCAAGGTTCGCCGCCGCATCTTTCCCTACTCCGAAACCTTCACCACAACCACAACCGAAATCTCCGTCGCCGTCCTCGAAAGTCGTCGGTTCTGCTTATGCGACTTTGGGACCGTTGGAAAAGGCTTTGTTGACTTCCAGTCCCGCTACCCCTCTTTACTTCCCCCACAGTGAATCTGATGAGAAACATCCGGCGCCACCTAAGCGAAAGCCCCATGTCAATAATCTTAAAAAGGTTCTTTGTTCTTCTTTCTTTCTTTCTTTCTTTCTTTCTTTTCTTTTTCCGCTTCATTATTGTTTTTTCTCTGTTTACTGATTCATATCGTTTCTGGGTGTTTTTCCTCTCATGAAAATTGAACAGAAGAAAGAACAATTGTTGGAGATTATCGAAGATTTTACTCGGCACAATGAATTGCTTAAAAAGGTGAATAATCACATTATCTCCATCTTTTACATGGTTATTTACTTATTCTAATGATTTTTTAAACTATATTAATCTTTGATTACGTAAATTCCAACAGGAAATAGAGCATAAGAAGCGGTTTTACGATCAACAGAAATCTGAAAACATGGAGTTGAAAGCAAAGAAACTAAAGGTATTTTAATAATTACATCAATGGGTGCTTGATTTTATTTCCAATTTTGCTTATTTCCATTTTAAACCCAGATTTCCATGGCGGCCGGAAACACCAACCGTGGTGAAAACCTGCATCAACAACCGTTGATGATGGAAATGCACAAGAATCCTGAATACCCGATTGGTGGAATGATTTGCTGGGTAACTTCAAACATCGGGGGAACAAGCAAGCTAAATGATAATGTGGGACCACTTGGTGTCATCGATCTCAACGTGTCTCCAGAGGAAGCCTTTGGCTTTGATCCGGAAACAGCAACAAAGGCTAGAGCTGCTCAAGCCAGGCTTAAAAGGAAACAGATTTGCAGGTCTAAGATTAAGAATTCTAATTCTGCATGTAAAGCTCTTCACCCCTCGTAGATGATTCAATTTTTTTTGGGAGTAGAGTATGGCAAACGGCAATTGTAAATTGGACAAGAATTTTCTTTTTCAAGAGAGAGATAATACGATTAAAGTCTAATCATCCAATGAATGAATGATTCGTTTTGTTATGTACAATGCATAGTCAAACATCTAAATCATAGAACGTGGAATTTGCTCCCTGTATTTAGAAGATTAAGTCTGTTTTAGTGGATTTATTTTTTTTTTAATATTTTTTAATTTTAGTACTTTCCCAAGTCATCCTTTTGGTAATTTTATAACATATATTGTATAAAAATTACAAATAAAAACTTATTAAAAATTCCGTGGCTTTCGGGACTTGAAGTCTACCAGGAGTGGAATTTGCAACTTTTAGTGAAAAAGAGGTGCGTAGAAAATTTACGCTGGAAGACTCACTCGTAACAGTTATGTATGTGATTCGGGTCGATCGATTTAAATTAATCGGGACTAAACCTTAACATTGGAGAGCAACCAAAAAAGGAGTTCTAGTTGGTTGGAAAAGTTTAAGAGAAGTAATGTTAACTAAAAAAGAGTTTTGAAACACTTAGTAACCCCCCTTTTATAGCTTATGTTAAATTTTTCTTATCAAAATTTATTCAGATAACTTGAATGTATTATGTTTATTAGGGTAAACTACACCAATGGTCATTAACATTTGAGTAAATTTTTGTTTTTCTCATTGAAGTTTAAGAGGTGGCAAATCGGTCACTAACATTATCAATTCGTAACAACATGTTCACTGACGTTATTGATTTATATCAAAATGGTCACTCTACTGTTATCTCTGTTAAAATGATTGCGTAGCAAAGTTAAGAAAATGGTTAATATTTAGTTTTACCCCTAGAGCCAAAACATCAAATAGTCGTTGAACAATGATTTTATATTTAATTTACCTTCAAGACTTTCTAAATTCAACTTTTTCCAAATACCTTGCCACCTCCACTATATTCAAACCGCATTCTTTATAAAATAAAAAATGGAGATAAAAATCGCTTCTTTTATCATTTTTATATATACTTTCTCTTGGTTATTTTTTTTCAGGATGAGAAGCAGAGATTGTTACTACAAGAACACAACAGACGACAAATTGCAGTATTGCTAACACAAATGAAGCCAAATGCATCTATTTCACTTAATCAAAGAGACCAAGAGATACAAAAAGTAGCAACCAAAACAATGGAGCTTCAAAACTTGCTGAAGAAGCTGGAGATGGATAAATATTAACAAAAAGTGGCACGTGAGAGCGAAGCGATACTTGTGTCTCAAAACATAAGTTGGAAACACTATGAGAACAAGTAGCTGCCACAATGGAGTCAGCGTTGCAAAACCATGGTCTAAAGTTGATGATCAACAAGACGAAGAAAGAAGAAGAAGAAGAACGACAATGGTTACAAACGTTGTGATACTCCAAGTGTTTGTGTCTGTGAGAGGAAAAAATTGTTTTCTTGGTTAAATTAGAGGCGTTCAATCGGTCGGTTTAGTAACAGACCAACTGGACTTTCAAAATTTCATAACTGATATTTTTCTTAACTTTTATCGAAGTGAAATTGTTTTCGAAAATAATTAACGGAACCGAACAAAGTTTGGTTAATCGGTCGGTTAGCTGAATTAACTAAAATTTATAAATAATATTTTATATTAAATAATTATATTTTTGTTAATTCGGTAAAAAAAAACAAAGTTTAACACTCTAATAATATATACAATATATTAAAATTTAATAATTTCGGTTAATTGGTTAATCTACCGTTTCGAACCAAATTAAATGATAACCAAAATTTGAAAAAATCATTAACGTTAACCGATCGAACCTTAAATTAATCGACCGATTAACCCAAAAAATTTGGTTCAATCGGTTAAATCGGTTTAACGAAGTTAAACACCCTAATGTTAATAATTGTCAGTTGAGCTTAGTTAATATTTACATGAAGTAATTGCATCGAGTGAATGAAAATTATGCAACTAAATTTGTGTTAATAATCTTGAATCTGCTAAATCACTAAACTAGGACCAAATTCAAGAAAACAACATCCAATGATAAGAGTAGCTATGATTATATTTACACACATTTTCTGTTCTTTCCTTTTTACTTGAATATTAACAAGCAACAAGGCATACAACTAGTGATTTGATATGAAGAAATATGTTAGCAACTGCAAGTCTAAAACTAGCAATAGTTTTTCATAGCAAACTTTAAACTAACAGACAACAATAAACTATACATAAGGTAGAAAAGTACCAACATATAAATGTCATCACTAAGAACATAAAATTAGCTAAATAATTTGACCCAAAACGACCAATAAATGAAAATATTTGGGTTAGTGATGATGTAATGTTACTAATTTGCAGCATCATGGTTGCTAACTTAACCATATAGCAGCTCTTGTAGAGTCCAAAACGCAAACACTTGGAGTATTACAGCATTTAAAAATCATGTTGTTCTTGTTCATTCTTCATCTTGTTGATCTTCAACTTCACACCACGATTCTGTGTCGCCGACTCCATTGTTGGTAGCTACTTGTTCTCGTAGTGTTCCAGTGTTGTTTGAGACACAACCATTGTTCCGCTCTCACGTGCCACCTTTTGCAATGCATGTCTATCCATATCCAGCTTCTTCAACAGGTTTTGAAGCTCCATTGTTTTGTTTGTTGCTTTTTTGTATTTTTTGGTCTCTTTGATTAAGTAAAATAGATGCATTGACTCTATTTATTTTAACAATACCACAATTTGTCGTTTGTTATGTTCTTGCAGTAACAATCTCAATCTCTCATCCTAAAAATGAAAATGAGAAGGTATAAAAAATGAAAAAGAATTTTTTTTAATCTCCACATTTTTATTTTGTAAGGAAGGTGGTTCGAAATAGGGAATGTGGTGGGATATTTGGAAAAAAAATTGAAATTAGAAAGTTTGAAGTTAAGTTATATATAAAATCATTGTTCAATGACTTATTGATGTTTTAGTTGTAGTTTAGGGGTAAAACTAAATATTAACCATTTCTTAGCATTGCCACGTAATCATTTTAATGGAGATGACGGTAAATCGATCATTTGTTACTAATCGATAACGTTAGTGACCATTTTGTACAAATTGATAATGTTGGTGACCATTTTGCCACTTTTGAAATTTCAATGGGGAAAGTGAAAACTTACTCAAACATGAGTTACCATTGGTGTAGTTTACCCTGTTTATTATTTTGATATGATATTATAAAAAATTATTTATGTATTATAAAAATTAGGCAACGTTAAATATTTAAATTAAATTTAAAATCGCGGTTTTAGTAGGGGATGGATACTGAAGACTGAAAAGTTAGAAACAGATAATATACTTTATTTGAAGTTCGAATAAAGCAAAAAGAAAAACATCATAGCATCCAAGGAAATACAATACAGTGATAGAGCAGGAAATCATACAAGCGTTTTAGCAACACAGTAACATTTGTAGGTAGTAATGTTTTGGAAGGGGGTCTCAAACTTTCATTCGGGTCATCGCATTTCTTTCAAGTCTCGTAGTTGTCGTCCACACCTTCGTCTCCTCATACTCCGCCTCATCGTCCTCCACGGTCGCATCCTGGTATTGCTGATACTCTTCAACCAAGTCATTCATGTTGCTCTCCGCTTCAGTGACTCCATCTCATCCATCCCTTCACCGGTGTACCAATGCAAAAAGGCCTTGCGACGGAACATTGCTGTGAACTGTTCACTACCCTCCTAAAATCTCCTGGACTGATGTCGAGTTCCCAACAAATGTCGACGACATCTTCAAGCTCTTTGGTGGAATATCACAGACACTGGACTTCACATTGTTGGGTATCCTCCACGAAGTACGATGAATTCTTGTTTTGAACGTTAATCATCTGTTCATCAACCTCTTTTGTGCTCATCTTGCCTCGGAACATAGCTGAGGCTGTCAGGTAGCGACCGTGGCGAGGGTCAGCAGCACACATCATGTTCTTCGCATCCCACATCTGCTGAGTCAACTCCGGGACCGTGAGAGAAATGTAATGCTGTGAACCGCGGGATGTGAGGGGTGCAAACCCGACCATAAAGAAGTGAAGACGTGGGAATGGGATCAGGTTCACAGCCAACTTTCGGAGGCGGAGTTCAGCTGTCCAGGGAACCTCAGGCAGCAGTTACACCACTCATAGTTGAGGAAATCAAGTGGTTCAGATCTCCAACTGCAGGATTAAAAGGTATAGGTAGTTTCACTATTATAAAATTGTTTCACGTTCATAACAAACCATCCATCAAGATTAAATTTTATCACTCACAGCTTGGATTAGTGAGCTTCAATGTCCGGAAGCAAATATCATAAAGTGCCTCATTGTCAAGAACCATGCATTCATCAGCATTCTCAACCAATGGTGCACAGAAAGGGTGGCATTATACGGCTCCACAACTGTGTCCGAGACTTTAGGTGAAGGGAAAACAGAGAATGTCATCATCATTCTATCGGGATATTCTTCTCTGATTTTCGATATCAGGAGAGTTCCCATGCCAGAGCCAGTTCCTCCTCCAAGTGAATGGCATACCTGGAAGCCTGGTCCAGAAGTAACATAAACAAGTGAGCTCATCATAAAATTCAAAGGGAAAGAACCATATTATTTAACCAATAAAATTTCATCATTCATTAAATGCAAATAATTAAACACAAGTTGCTTTTTAAACAAACCCTTCTCTAAGAGAAACAGAATTCACCTAATAAATAAGATTGACATGCTACAACACATACTTAATACTAAATCAACTAAAGGAATTTAGATCAACTTCAGCCAGATCCAACTATTACGGGTTATATTTCTTGGGCACTGATCACATAGTCACTAGAATTACAATAGCAACAAATCAAATCTTTCACAGCAGCATACCATCATAAGATAGTGACAGTGTGTCTTTTCAGGTAGATCTGGATCCAGAAATATGGCCATCTCTTTCTTTATCATACTACTTTTCATATTTTGCATAAAACTAGATCTGATATTCATGCCAATGTCACAATCTACCTTTTGATTGTTATTGTTTTTAG